ACTCTTTGATTCAAAGTTTTTGTTTATAAGTCAAAGACTATGTCTTTAACTTAATTATAGAATTATAACAATTAGACCACATAATTGTCAAACTCAACATCAGTCTCACATAAGGCCAAGGATCAATTCTAAACTTATTAACATGTAAAACCCAAGAAATAATATTGTAAACATGAAGACCGGAGCATATTTTACATGTCCAATAGAATAAGTCAGAAAGGGCCCTCACAGGTCTGTGAGGGACATACCCTCTTCATTTCAATAACCATTTATTAGATTTATGGTCTTTGACTGTATTTGTGTTGGGCACTCGATGACAGAAATTGAATATTACAAAAATGGTGGAATGTTTTCTGTTTTTCTTTTTTTTTGGAGCAGATGGCATTTAGGTTTTCTAAGAAAAAAGTTTTTACGTGAGCCGAATAAATCTGAGGAGGGTTAGGATGTAGACAGTGTCCGGAGACCGTTTAGATCGTTATATAAATTTTGGTTGGTCAAAACTTTTCAGGGTGTAGCTTCCGTTATAGTATAGTATAATAAGGATTTTTGTTATTGGAGCCTAATGGTGATAGGTTTGTTGTTTTACTAGTCCCAAGACTGAGAAAAAAACCCCCAAAGAAACATAATAAGTGTTGCATCTTAATTAAACAACCGATTTCAACAAAAAAAGGAGGACGTTCTCAATTCGAATGTTTTAATACTATTTTATTCTGTTACATTTGACAACGATAAACAGAATTCTATAATTTTTATTATTGTCCAACTATCGATGTCTAACTTTACACGTGTATCTAAAACCATTAGAGACTAGACCACGAGAATAGAAATAGTAAATAAACAAAATACATTTTTTTAAATATAACTTTTCTTGGAACTATTACACGAATAAGACCTTCAATAAAATTGAAAAACATCCTCATTGAACTGAAGAACGTGTAAAAACAGGATAGTAACAAATAAAACCTTTTCCTGTTCTACAGAGATCAAGGACAGACAGTTATCATTTGTCACAATAAGTCTTTGCTCAACGGATTCAAGGTTAAGGGTATGGCGCCATCTTAATCAACCTAAAGCCTTTACAGATCTTTTTCCTACACTTTCTTTACAAAATAGGCTTGAAATAATGATATCTTGTAGCTCTCGTTGGCTTTTGATCAGTCGCTATAATGACTTTGTTTAGATCTTTCTTAGTTATGCCCATAAAAACATGATATTAAATTGTAGCTAGGTATATTATTAGCTTTTCCTTAGGTTTATTTAAGTAAACATGTTTTTTTTTTTAAGGGGGGAAAATCATCGAATGACTGCTCCCGCCTGGGTGAGGCGGAAGGGAGTGTCAGACTCTTACTGACTAAAAACCACCCCGTTCCTTCTCCTGCACGTCGAGCCGGAGCCCCGGTTACCCGTTAGGTTCTCCGCGACTCCGAATCGGCATCGGCCCTACTGGGCCCCATCTGTGGTGGTCTGATGGCTCTTTGAGGCGCGCGCGGAACGCGACGCGCCGTACGCTCGAGTCTGTTTCTGGTCGGACGGGGAGCCACCCATGCTCGCCGTCCGCAGGCCCGCGCTTACGGTGGCCGGAGATCGTCCCGCGATCCCCGACGCCCGGTGTGTCCTTCGCGACGGCTGGGTTGCGAGGAGGCAGCGCTTCGCTGCCTCACGCGTCCCGCCTCCTCCTTAGCTAGCATGACTGCTTCGCAAAAGGAGGAGACGGCATCCCAGTCCCCCTCGCTCCGCATCATGGCCTGCACTAGGAAGTAAACATGACTGGAGGTCATTGGAGGGGGTCTGTACACAGTAGACCTTTTGTGGCTGATATGATGAAGATGATGAAACATATTTACGATTTATAAACGATGACTGCCTCGCCGAGTGGTCGCAAGGGCGACAGCTGGGCAAAGGGTCTCGGGTTCGAATCCCAGCGTGGGCAAGGTACTCCTGGGTTTAAAAAAAAATCTCAGCAGTAGCACGAAGTCTGGAATTTTGCCCGGTATATGGCGATAGGCTCACCCCCTATTACATGGGACTATTACATACCATAAATAGTAAAAAGTGGGTGTTACATTGTACAGTGGCATTAAGTGCTGAAATGTGCACATCTGCCTACTTACGCTTTGGGAATAAAAAGGCGTGATGTTATGTTCATTAATCCGTTTTTTTACCAACAAAAAATCTTCTTTGATTTCAGTGGTCAGTCTTTCTTTCGGTGTAATTAAAAGTCTTAGTAGTTAAATTCAAAATAAAATTTATTCTTGTTCACATAACTTTTACACCGCCATTCCTAGCGCCGGCGTTCAAGGGAAACAGCGAGCGACCACAGATAATCTATTGAAGTTTGACGTTCCGTAGCTGTCAACGTTAAACATCACCTGGCTTAAAAGGGTAGGGTGTTACACTTACTACTTTGGCTGCCAATAAAAAACTGTTGAAGGCAAATCCTCCGCTAATGTTGGTCAAAGTCAAAGTCAAAGTCAAAGTCAAAATCATTTATTTCAATTAGGCCAGAATGGCACTTTTGAACGTGAACAAAAACAAAAATTTAAAGTGAAGCTATTTGCTCATTCCAAGGCGTAGATTCCTATGGAGAAGAACGAGCAAGAAACTCCATAGGTTACTCTTTTTCAATCAGGTTCACAATACAATTTACTAGTTACATAATTCTCTCTGTAACAATTCTTGTCTAAGAGTTTGGATGTCCAAGTCATATAAAGCCCTACTTTCTTCTAATTCATTATGGCATGATTTAATTTCACTAACTAGTTTAACTTTTTGTTTTCTTAAATTTAAGTTTAATTTAGATAGACTGTGCCTCTTTTTAATTTTTTTAATTGTCTTATTCAGTTTAATGTACTTTTTAATTTTGTTGTGGATGTTTAGCATGGTGCATGCGGTTGATACAGTGACGGGATCATCGCCAGTTAAGTCTATTGTAATGGCCGGCTCACATGTGTCACCAGAACCACTCACAATTAACTCTTCATATAAGCTCTGAGTCTTGTCTGATATTACTGAGTGTTTAAACGCCTCTAATGTATGTATTGTTTTGTAGGCTTCTCTTAATTCATGCTCCAATTGTGATATACGTGTTAGAGCATGTTCATGAGTGTCAGTGCACTGCTGGAAGGTAGTAACCTTTTTGAGTAGCATATCATGTTGTTCAAGTAGGTCTGTGTGACACATATGAAGTTCAGCCAATTCAGTTTTGAGATTAGTGTTTTTATTAATAATATTTGTCACTTCCACTTCACTATCGTCCCGTTCCTGTAGCAGTTGGTTACACAGGTGCTTCGATGACTCCAATTCCTTTAGCGCTGCTCTCAGTTTGCACTCCATTTCCTTCGATCTGGTCATCATACTGATAAGGATGATACTCTGAAATAAAAGAAAAAGGAACAGCAAAAAGACAGGGAAGATGACTTGAGATGAGGGAAGTTGGTATATTAATCTGTAAGATCTTGTAATAAGAACAAGAAAGGAAAGAATAATAAGGAAAAAAGACAGCTTTAATTGAAATGTTTAATTAATATTGGTATGATGATTATACATATATATTTTTTTTTTTTATAAATGTAGGTAGGAGGTAGGTGCCAATCAATGACTAGATTCAAGTTTTTAGTTATTTATGCTTGAATTCGTCATAAATTGGGCTTATAAACATTAATTACACGACTAGTTTCGTCTAAGTTTGTACACTAAAGTAGAAAGATTTAGTAAAGTTTTTGTAAAGTTTCTTTGTTTGTTCTCGTTGTCGTGTTGACAAATTATCACGCAAACTGAAGACAGATATGTATAATATTAAGAAATATGGTCTTTTGATTATTGTGTAATGATAGACTACAATAATTATCACTTATACTCCCCTGGTTTTAAGATTTGAATAAAACTTTTGTTCCGTCCGTTGACCGTTGACAGCCCGCGGGAACTTTTCAACTTTGTGGATAAAGTCTTATCACCATCACCAGGAAAACACTGCTACTAATTGGTCACCGGTGACTGCCATGGCGTTTAACGAGTAACACAAACAGACACAGTGACATTGTATGCACCCTATTTAAGGTAAAATCAGCTTTACGTCACATCAAATCAACAGTATTTAATACACACTCAAATGTTTACACATCCAGTGAAACACCCTTCAATAAACTGAAGCGTGCAACCATCGCCACTGATATTGGCATACGGCTTGGCTCATTTCATTCATTAACAGTTCATGTAGCCTTAACTAACCCTGCCTGCATGCGAAATAGACAGATTTAATTAAACTTCTATTTCATGCGGCGAACAAACAGAATTTGAATGATTTTCATGATTGATTCTCAGGAATTTGTGGTTCTAAAATGTCTAGTTCGATAATGAAATTTGGTCAGACAGTGTAGTAGAATACCTATATATCAATAGGCTGCGGAAGAATCCCACAATGACTTGAAACTAGTAGAGAGCTTTTCTCAATATTTTACATGAGTAAACCGGAATTTTTTATTAATTTTGTATGTCTGATGATATAATACAAATTAGAAATTGGTTTGTATAATACTATTGTAATGAAATTGTGATTATGATTAGATGCGTCTACCGATCATAACTGAACAAATTTCAACTTTCAAATCACATATTTTGAAAATATATTGCAGTCCGCTTTCATTACCTATTACGAGACAAAAAAAAATTGACAACAGGTAAAATTTTAAGCCTTTGACTGCCAATAAAAAACTTTTGAAGATAAATCCTCCGCTAACGTCGGTCACCGGTAACCCCATGGCGTTTAACGTGTTAAAGAAAGTATCAAAGAAGTGATAGTAAGAGAATTTTAAAACAAAATTATTTAGTTTAATTTCCTTATTTAAATAAACATTTTCGGCAAATATTTTCGTTATTACCTACCTTCGTTATAAAGATAAAGCGTCATAAGATTCTTCAGAAACATCAAATGATTTGTACTAAAATTAAAAAATAATTCTCCCACATCACCCATTATTAATATTTTTCAATGCAAAACTTACCTATAGAACTGCAAGACGCAGTTTCTATATCACACAGCACGAGAGTAGTAAATACTAGGGCAATATAGGAACTAGGAGACCAAACAAGGCCAAGCTTTGTATTGCAAACAGACCGCGTCATTTCACACCATCTCTGCACACAATACTGATGTGCGATTCGAAGCCATTCCCATTTTACATACATACATCTTCAATTGAATGATCCAGTTATACTGTTATTACTAGATCAAGGCAATTGAATGGCATTTTATCTCGAACGTCAGTATTGTGCACTGCCTGATGTGAAAGTCAAATAACTTATATTAATTGGTTAAGTAAGGTTCTTGAAAGTCAGATAAATACAAAATCTCTAATACGCCAGTCATAAGATAACATAACATCACGCCTTTTATCCTCGAAGGGGCCGGGAATCGAACCCGAAACACCTTGCCCGGCTTTCGCACTTGCGACCACTCGGCCAATGAGGCAGTCAAACGTGGGTATTATGACAAACGCTATTACGTTTTTATAATAACTATTGTGAGACATCTTAAATGAACTAAAATCGGTAAAATCGGTAAGGGGCTCGCAGCGCTAGTAGCAACACCGATGCGAGCGCCAACGCCAGCCAGTGAGCTGTGCGACCTCGCCGCGACCGCGCACACTGCTCATAAGGAAGAACCCCTCTGTAGTTCGAAACTAGTAGAGCTTTTCTCAATATATTCACGTGAGTAACCCGCGATTTTAGTTAAACACTATTACGTAGAAGAAGCTCATCATACTGTGATAGTTCAGCAATGAACTTTCAGCCTGAGCTGTTGATGTTGTTTTATCTCATTGAATCTATTATGGTACAAGTAACTGTCTCGTTGGCGGAGTGGTCGCCAAGTGTGACTGCTGAGCAATGCTTCGATTTCCGGGTCGGACAAAATATTACTGGGTTTTAAAAACAATTCTCAGTAGTAGCACGGTGTCTGGAATTGTACCTGGTATTAAGCTTACCCCCTATTACATGGGACTCATAACATAAATAATGAAAAGTAATGTGCCAAAGTAAAATGTACCCAACATTGTACAGTGGCATCAATTATTGTGATGCATATTGTGCACCTCTGCCTACCCCTTCGTGGATAAAAGGCGTGATGTTATGATGACCAGCCATAACTATTGGTATTCTACTATAGGTAATTGTGGCTTTAAGAATAGTGCTTCTGTAATACCATAGAGATTACCACAAATAGATATCGTCGTTAGGTTACATTTCTTTACTTCTCATGTGGGTACCGAATACGAGGAAAGTTCACAATAATAACAGCACAGAACAACCTTATGTATTTTCACTGTTACTAAACTTATATTTTTCATTCTATTTTTAGAATCACTGGAGTATTCAAACCCCTTTCTCGTTTCTATTTATAAACACGCCCTCCGAAAGGATTTTCACGATAAACGTCGGGTAAAAACTTCATTGTTTAATTAATTTTCCGGTTATTTAATTCGGCGTAATAACTGGTATTAAATTGGTTTTTTGTTATTTGAATAACCCTCTGATAAACGTTAAACGGTTATCGCTTAGGGAAAGCTGCTTAGCGACTTATTGGCTGTATTGTTGGATACTTTTTTAATTTATTTTTTGTTGTCTTCAAAGAGGTGCCTATCACCTCTTTGTTTGGTGTTGATTTCATGAGTTATTGGTTATGCCTGTCTAGCCATTTTATCCTGTATAGTAGAGTCTATAAAGTTTATTTTGTAAATTTCTACAATTTAAATGGCTTTGTTCCGTAAAAATCGGAAAAATCGTCAAATGACTCCTGCTGTCTTGGGTGAGACGAGAGAGAGTGTTAGACTCTTACTGATAAAACCACTCCGTTCTAACTCTTACTTTGAGCAAGAGTCAATGTAATTTCTTGTGCTTTATCTGTAGTCTTAATGGCTCTAGTAGGTACTTTAGAGGGCCTGTGTTTGTCTAGAACTTTTCGAGTCACAATTGGGATGATGTCAGGGTATGAAAATTAAAAATCTAATTAGTCAGTAAGTTAGATAATGATAAAACATTAGAAACGTATTTTTTTATTCTGTTGTATAATAAAACAATACTTAGATATAACGAATCAAATTTAGGAGTGGGGGTTAAAACGTCATTTCTACGTATAAAATGGACATAGAAGTGACGTCACGCGACATTTCAAATCAATATATCGTCGAAAGTTTTAGTTTCTGTAAGAATATAAAAATTACGTGTCTAATAATGTAAAATAATCTACCAGATGGACATTAAAACAAAAATTAGGCATCTACCCTATTCTAGAGAAATAAAGAATATGTGGAATACCAACATAAAAAATAACATTTTCTAAAACAAACAGAGTATCAGTGCACCCCTAACATTTACAATAAACACACCACTGTGTAAGAGATACAGTAACAAAGGGTTGGCACTTGGCATGGATCGGTGGTCGCGCTCAGTACAAGCTATCCACTGCGCTCCGTAAACATTGAACTGCATTGATTATGAAACAGATGGGACACGCGTTTGAAATGTTCCCCCGGGCTGTATAAAATTCTGGGTTACAAATTCTATTTTTGTATTTTTTTTTTTTCGTCGTGGTTATGTTTGTGTAGCTTATCGTATCGCCTATTTTCCCCAAAGGAGTATGTATGACAAATATGTTGTGTGATTAGGTTAGAGTGGATGAGTTAAGTACAATTTACTTTTTTTAAATCTGGTCTAATCTAGTTCTTAATTAGGTACTAGGTACTTTGACTGCATTTAGGTGTTGCATTGTTCTCACACAATCGAACCAACAAAACTATGTAACTAGAGAATTCTATTCTAAACCCGATTGAAAAAGAGTAACCTATGGAGTTTCTTGCTCGTTCTGCTCTACCTCTATAGGAATCTATCTATACCTTGGAATGAGCAACTAGCTTCACTTCTAAATATTTGTTGTTGACGTTCAACAGTGGTTTCAAGGTCTAATTTCAATAAATGATTTTGACTTTGACTTAGACTTTGACTTTGGTAGTAAGCTAAATACTAAGTACCAGAATCATATCACACTTATTATTAGTAGTTATTAATTATAGTCATTTGGATTACATGGCCAAAATTGTCACATTAAGGTTCCGTAAGAACTTATTTAATAGGTATTTAAGCACAGGATAACTAAACTTTTTAACAAAAATTGTGGATAGTCTAAAATATCTCGATAGTTTCTAGACGAAAAAAAAGAACAATAAAAGTCAAGAAAACAAAATTAATTCACCGTAGTTTTTTGTAAACAGTTTGTACAAAAGTGAAACTTTTGAACTTGTAATTAGGGCATAGTTTTGAACTTTCACATAAATTTCGTAATTTATTACTTTAGAAAAGTACTTTTTTATTTGAATCTTATTTTTCTCGACGTAAATAGAGATGAGGGTGGCAATTTGAAGGCCTTTGTTGTTAGTTCAAAGACGTATATTTTGTAGGAAAAGAAATAACAAGATAATAATCTTCTTATTAATAACGTCGTGGTGGCCCGGAGGTTTAAGACGCCCACTTCTCATGCATGAGGGTGCGGGTTCGAAACCTACCAACGTCAAGTACCAATGTGACTTTTTCCGAGTTATATGTACTTTCTAAGATTATTTAGACACCACTGACAAACGGCATGGCAACGGAAAAACATCGTGAGGAAACCTGGACTTATAATTTCTAATTATAAGTTTGAAATCGCCAACCCGCATTGAGCAAGCGTGGTGATTAATGCTCTAACCTTCTCCGTGTGAGAAGAGGCTTTGCTCAGCAGTGGGCATTTATAGGCTGTTGATGATGAATCTTTTTATTGGTTATTTTTGTAATTTAGTAGTTGTAAGGCTCAAAGTTTTAGAAAAAGAAAAATATGTGATATTCGTTACAGCTAAAAAAATGTTATATACCATTAGACTGATGCTGACTGCCGGGTCGTACAAAGTACTACTAGGTTTTTAAAGAAATTACAGTAGTAGCATGGAGTCAGGAATTGTGCACTGGCAATAGGCTCACCCCCTGTTACATGGGACTGATAACATAAATAGTGAAAAGTGAGTGTTACATTGTACAGTGGCATTAAGTGCCGTAATGTGCGATTCTGCCTACTCCTTCGGGGATAAAAGGCGTAATGTTATGTTATGTTATGTAATTAGACTGATATTTTAAATTTGGGATTCAATCGTGTCATGTATATGGGATTGACGTGCTTGACACCTAAATCATCACGGATGATCAATAAATCGATTTTGACTATTTCGTTCATGATAAGAAATGATTGTATTGGGCAATTTATTTAAACAATTCATACTTTTTAACAATGTAAACTCTGGACACAGGGTTTTAAAACAAACGTATAGCAACGTTTAGCCCTAATTCTACACATATACTTTTCAAAATATATTTTGTACCGCCATCGTAATAAGCCAGGTGACCACAGCAGATCCCAGGTCTCCCCCAATGGCTTTAATGTCAGCTCGTACGAAGTGACCTGCATCATCTGTAAATAATTCTAATCTATGACGGTTTTATATTGGGTTTAACCGGGCGTCTCTACACGCAATATATTTGGTGGGTGTACCTTACAGGCCAACGCCCATTGCCTATCTGTACAGCGATAAAACTATTTTATGTATCTTTTCGAAATACAAGATAGCTGCTAATCTTCTCATGTTTTCGTTCCAAGTGTATTTCTGTTTGAATAACTTTGTTTGTGTGTGAAATTTTAACGTTGAGTGTACACTGTTTTTTTTATGGGGGGAAAATCATCGAATGACTGCTCCCGCCTGGGTGAGGCGGAAGAGAGTGTCAGACTCTTACTGACTAAAAACCACCCCGTTCCTTCTCTTGCACGTCGAGCCGGAGCCCCGGTTACCCGTTAGGTTCTCCGCGACTCTGAATCGGCATCGGCCCTATTGGGGCCCATCTGTGGTGGTCTGATGTCTCTTTGAGGCGCGTGCGGTGTACACTGTTAAATGCACTATTTTTAAGCGCTGTAACTTTTTGGGAGACTGTTTGAGTATTGATTGAATTATGTTGAAAGAATTGAACGTAAGATCTTGACCGTTGAAATGCTAC